TGCATGCCTGCAGGTCTACTCTAGAGGATCCCCTGCTTGAGTTGAATAGAGACTTTTTGAAATAGAAAAACATTCTGTCCTAAATCAACATTTTGATTAGGGTACTTCCGGGATAGCTAGGATACGGCGGTGCAGCCAACTTACTAGGGAAGATAGTAACTGGGGTACGGAACTTTGATAAGAGGCCGGTATCATTCGAAAACTGGGATCAAAACTTTCAAGTATGTGTTTTTTTTTGCTAAAGAGCAACTAGACTCAAATTTGAGCTAAATTTGAAACTTGATTTTCTTGAAACTGGTAGCACTTCAGCAAAAACAAAATACGTATTTGAAAAGGCCATGATCTCAATTTTGGAATGATATATGTAGGCCTCTTACCTTATCAAAGTTCCATACCCCCAGTTACAACCTTTCCTTGTTTGTAGTTTCTGGGTATTATTGAGAGACATGACTCCACGGCAACCTAGCCACAACCAGATTCACGGCCGGCCGCGATTTGCAGAGCCTTGTCCAAAAATTTCCGTTTTTTACCCTTACCTCTGACAACTCTTCAACTTTGCATCTCCATAATATCCATCAACACAATGCTCACACTGAGCTCCTTCGGTATGATGAAGACACTTGAGACATTCTCCGGTGGCCGCATCACAACTTCCTTCCATCGACATGTCAATGTTTCCATTACAATCACATCGTTCACAAGTTCCACCGACCTCGCGTGGCGATCCCCAATGGTTTTGAGCGCATTCACCGCAACGTTCTCCTTGGTAGCCGGATCTGAAAGTACTTGGCTGTTTGCAAAGAATACTAAAATTAAAAAATGTCTTTGATTTCCAGATATATCTGAAACAGTAGGAAAAAACCATAACTCACTTGCAATTACAAACAATATCTTGAGTGTTGTTTCCTGAATTTCTCAGATAGCAGGTGTCAGCATGTTGATATCCACTGGTTGGCCCTCCTGGACATGGGCATGGTTTACATGGAATACCAACTCCCAATCTTGGATCTCCATAATATCCATCTTGACATCTATCACAATAATGTCCAGTGGTAAGGTCTCTACACTCGATACACGCTCCAGTTGACTGATCGCAAATGTTGGCGTGATCGTTACATTGACAAGTTCTGCACTCTGGGAATCCCCAGAAGCCAGGCTGGCACTGATTACACTGTCTTCCATAGATACCCTTTTCTCTGCAAACACACTGTCCGGATTGTTTGTCACAGTCGTTTCCGAGGGATCCAACAGCGTCACAATCGCACTTTTTACATCCGGTTGGTCCGAATCCGTAGGTTCCAATTGCACATTGGTCACAACGTCTTCCAACAACATTTGGTTTGCATTCACATTGTCCTCCATGAACGGAACAGATTCCAGAGACGGATCCAGTAGCATCACAATTACATTCACTCGTCTTATTGAGAAGAGCAGCAGCCACTGGACACACATATCTCTCACAGACTTCGTTCCGTTGATCCTTAAATAGTGAAAGAGACAAAGCGAGATGTCTACATTGATAGCGATTGTATTCGGTGAGATGTTGCTCAGCTCTAGCGGATCCTTGGAAGATATGAAGTTCAGAAGTGGGCGGAGCCAAGAGAATCGAGTCAATGAGAATGTTAGCAGCGGCACGTTCTTGTGGATGAGAGTTGGTTCTCTTCTCGTTGAACTGAATTCTCAATTCATACTGTACTCCAGCTTCCAAGCAAACTGCTGGTTGAACTTCAATGTATCTGGATCCAGGGTAGATTCTGGCAATCAAAAAGTCATCAGATGGTGGTGCATCAGCACAGAATCCACTTCCTTCAGCTTCTGGTCGAACCACAGTGATTTGAACGTTCTCCCATCCAACTGGGTCACGTGCTCCATCGTGGCGAATGATGATGTTATACTTTTGGGAGACTTCGACCATTGGATTCACAGTGATAATGGATCCTTCGCTGACTTGAGCGAATCCTTCTCCAGTCCAGGTCTGTTCGTGTGTCTGGGTTGGCCACTCCCGGGTCTTCACTTCTCCACGAGTCAGATTAGCATACTCCGCTTCGTAGACATAGTGGGTGATATCAGCACAGTAGAATGAGGAGTCGGCAGTTTCGCATCTGGAATTTTTTCTTTTTTAAAAGTAAAGATAATTTATCCCCAATCAATTAATGAATTAAATTATGAAAACTATCCGAAACAGTAACCCACCTTCTTCCACTGAATCCTTCTCTACACTTGCACTGTCCAGTAGAAACATCACAAGAGTTATCATAAGAACCTCCAATATCACAATCACAAGCCTTGCATCCATCGACATGCTCCGAGAGCCCGTAGTGTTCTGGGAGACATTGATCGCAGTTCTCTCCGGTGACCAATCTCTTACAAGTGCACATCCCAGTGTACTTATCACATCCTTCGTTGTTATAAGTTCCCAACAGATTGCAAGTACAAGCAACGCATCCATCGATGTTGGCTTCAGTGAGATTCCAGTATCCATTCTTGCATCGATCACATCGGTTTCCATCGACATTCGTTTTACAGTAGCATTTTCCAGCGACAAGACCACGCTCGGCGTCTTCTTCTCCCTCACAGATTCCCTGGAAAGTGAGTACAATTGAAATGGGATCAAGGCTGCTGTCCGAGGCGCAGCTTTTGATTTCAGAATTGTCAATGCGGCCTCGGTGGAACGTACAACATTTTTGTTTGGGATGAGGGTAAAGTAGGGGTTGAAAAGTTATTTTTTTCAAGATGAATCGTTTCAACAATTCGTTTAAAGGTGGGGGGACATGAAAAAAAAATAATGTTCTCGAAATTTCGTTTAAATATGCCCCTCGAGGAGTTGAACTTGTCGAGACTAGTATTGACGGTGCGGCGCCGCTACCGACTGAGCCACGCGGGCAAAGAGGCAGCCGGCGCCTGATTGCATTCATAAAGGTGAGGACGACAGCTGTACGCAGAGTGACATTAAGCGTTGTACACCGTGACGGTAGAATGCATACTCTAGCTACAAAAAAACTACGAAAAATCTCCTGTCCCCCACCTTTAATGCATAAATCAACCTTGTGAAAAAATAAAATTTCGATTTCAAAAATAAAAGTATGTTGGATACTACAATGCACCAAAACTCGCAGTTAAGTAAGCTCAACGGGCTTTAAAAACATCACTGTTTCATTGGCTTCGCATAAAATAACCCAGTTTTTCGTTATTAATAAAATCATAAGCCGAATCGCTTACCTTATTCTGAGATCCAGCTTTGTCACATTCGCATGGCAAACAGACATGTGGATCGTCGATGGTACGTCTTGGATCACGATAGAAGAATGGTTTGCACTGTTCGCAGTTCTTTCCTTGGGTGTTGTGCATACAGTCGTCGCAAACTCCACCAGACACGAATCCTGAAAAAATTGAATGACAGTTTCAGAATGTTGTTCAAAGCGAAACTTCAAAACGTCAATTTCAAGGTGACACGTTTGCGAAAATTCTTTGCATTTTCTTGACGAAAAAAACATTGTCTCAAAACTTTCAGTTATAAACAAACCACACAGTTTTTACATTGTTCGTCTGTTGTAACTTATTTCAAAAAAGTACCTACAAAAAATTTTTTAATAAAGCCGTTTCTTTTTTTTTTTTTAATTCGAATCAGAGATGAGCGGAATAGAACATTTCAGAATCCGGAAGAAGAAATCCAGAAGAAGAAATTCTGCTTATCTCTAGTTCAGATTTTTAACAACTCCGGCGAAGTTATGAGAGTTGTTGACCAGTTTCAGAGTATGCCTTTAGTATGGACACACAAAATTCCCTAATATTACTCACCACTAGCTTCATACACAGCTCTGTCGAAGTGACATCCCAATGCATGTCGATTACAATTACACTGTCTACACTCGTTCTTCTCATCTCCAATAGCCGGTCTCCATGGCAAATCATTATAGAAAGCTTTGCATTTTTCACAATTCAATCCTTCTGTATTGTGCATACACTCGCAACGTCCATGAACAATATCCGGACGCTCCATGACGGTATTTGGACTGGCGTGTGGATCGATTGGAATACATCTGGAGGCGTGACCGTAACAAGAGCACGAACCGCGAACAACGATTTCGTAGATGGCGTAGTAGTACTTCTCGTCGATTTCTGGTCTGAATTTTTCGCATTGTTGCTTTCAACACGGTAGTAAGCTCAATTCTCAATTTCTGTGAGAACCATCGAAATGTTGTTGATATCATGACAAACATGTTATCAGCTGACTAATTTTTGATTTATCTTTTAAGAAATGAGATAATTGAGCTCAAAGTGTAAGCATACGATATTGTCGTCTCCAAACGCTACTTACCTGTAATCCAACAAGTCATCTCCAAGAGTGTGCAATTTTGTGAAATTGAATCTCAAATTGGTAATCTTCAACAATGTCGAAATCTCGTCAGCATATGGATTCTCGGTAACAATATGTGGGGAGATGACCTTATAAACCAATTCTCCTCCAGTCGATGGGGCAACATCAGAATACTGATTCGTACAAATGACATCTGTATGTTTCTTCGGATGTCCTTCTGGAATTCCTGGGAAACTGCTGTCACAGTCGTACGCAAAGTATCTGTAGATTTGCCACGTTTTTCCGAAATCCGCTGATTTTTCGATAATCATAGCAGCTGGACGGAAGGATTTGAATGTCATAATCAAGTGAGTGAAATGGAATTCTGCTTCCAGGTCCAATTGAATTGTTGCGTTTTGAACACCATTCTCGGATTGCCACCAGTTTCGGTTCTTGTCGTCCATTACTTCGGTGACGACGTTTTCGATTCTGAAAGTTTGAATTTTATAAAATTGCTGTTTCACAAGCTTCACAACATCGGAATTTCGAATGTTTCAAATAGTTGTTAAATTATTCATATTTCAGATTTCCATCAAACATGTTTTCGAAAATGACGAAAACACCAGTATTAATCTTGTTCATAATTCTGGAAGGTTTACGATAGAAACCGATTTTTCTGCCACTCTCTGTGTCCTTTTTTTTTGGAAGTTTTCCGTTCCAGAATCTCATTATACACAACCGTTTTTGAAGCAATCAGTAGTTGTAAAGGTCTTGTCAGCTTAGTTCTGAAGCAAAAGTTTCTTTTTAAAAACTATGTTCAAAAAATTGGACAAAATAGTCTTCCCATGAATCGTTATTCATTTGTAATTCGTCTTCGAAACATGTTTGTCAAACTGAAAAATTTTGTAGAACACAAAAATCGTATTTGTAAAATTCCGGCCCGGCCCGGAAGGTTCATAAAAAAACCTGTATTTTTGAGCCAAATTTTGAGCTCACAATAAAATTGTCTCCATTTTTTTTTGTTTTTTTGGATTGTTTGTCTGTTCGATCGAAAAAGATCGAAAAAACTAGAAAAAAATTTTTGATCGGAAAAAACCACATAAGGGTCCGGCCCGGCCCGTTACAAGTATGTTAAAAATTCTTTTCACAAGTTCCTCTTCTTCGAAAATTTTCGGTTTCAAATTCTTGTTAAATATTTCATATTCAAGATTTCCATCATTCAAAAAACGCTAGCCATAATACAAGGATGAAAAAACTGGCGATCAATCTTGCTCATTGCTAATTTTAAAGCACTCGGAATTCGATCAAGATCAAATGCTTTTTTCTTTTTTTTGCCGGATTAAAAAAGAGTGCAACTTGGTGCCATCTATTAATCAATCCCCCTTGGATCTATCGCACTATTACACTTTATATTTCCCATCACTCTCTCCCTCTCTCATTCTCCCAAAAAAAAACTCACCGATGACTCAATCGGTATGGCTCCCTTTGTGGCTTCCATTCGGTTCTCGAGTCGCAATAAAAACATTTCGTCTGCTCCTCCAAATGGGAAACAATACAGAAGCGTTGACGTCCTTGTGTACCACATGTCGATGAGGCTTTCAGTTGAGATTTACGACCGATCAGAAGGTTACCAGTGATGGGGTAGCACGATCGATCCTGACACCGATCCTCGCTTTGTTGTGGTTGAGATGCTTGTTGGGTATATGTGGATATAATGAGCACCGAGAGCCATATCGCTGGCCACCAAAGCGGCAATCGCAACATTTTGATTTGCGATGCGATTTGGTTTCGTTTGAGGAGATGGGATGGACCTGGAAATTTTTAAAGGGATTAAATATAAAAGATATTGCTTTCAAAATTTAGACTACTTTATTGAAAAAGTAACGATAAATAAAGATTTTTAGAACATATACAATTAGACTGAAACAGAAAAATAGAGAAAAAAGGAAGAGGTATCGAGCTCCCATTAAACAGATGGTGAGTAAAGTCATTTGTCAATCATATGAAACAGAGAAATTCGGTTCGAGTTGTAATGAAAAAGGATTATATGATCACATTTATCAACTAAGTCTAGAACAAGATATTTAGAAAAATGACTAGTTGAAGCCTGGATTGAAAATTTTAATGTTTCTAGACTATTATAATTTCATTTGGCTGGAAAGAAATAACCGACGGCTGAACTATACCAGTACAAAATTTTGAAAAATTAGCGTAAACACTAATAGAAACAACTTCTAGCTTTCACCTTTCAGTCAATTCATATCGGTTCTGGTGAAAGGTGTCAAAATGTGGTTAACTGACAAAATTATCTTGATGTTGTAACCAGGATTTTGTTCCAGTGTTTCTCTAACAAGGGAAGTCGTTTCAGACACCGGTTGAGAATCTTTTGAAATTTTGAACAAGTATACCCTTAACATGGTGTCATTTTTTGTTTTTCCACCCCGGCCTCCAGCTGCTGAAAATTTGCGTCTGAAACTTTAACGTGCTTTTAAGCGCCTTTGGGCGCCTCGCCTTCCCCTTTTATTGATTGAGGAAAGAGGAGAGAGCAGCCAGCAGTGGTATAGTGGTGAGGAGGGTACGGACGTGTCTGACAAGGGTCAGGTTCGATACCTTTCCCTTTTTTTTGGTTTTTTTTCTGACCCCTCTGGAAGTGTCAAAAACTTGTGTAAATTTTTTGTTTGAAATTTTTAAAATTAAAATTCTAATTTATTTGGAACAAGTAATAATTTTTATAAGATTCGAAAAATACTGGTATATGTTCTGAAAAATTTCTGGAAGTAACACTTCCAAGTCTTTGCTAGTCGAATAATAAGTCCGAATTCCCTAGATCGTCTCATTTTTTTGGGTTGGAAGAAAGCAAAATACATCAGAAACTATCCAATTAGGAACTTTTTGAGTGATTCTAGTCAACTTTCGAAGAACTATTATCTATTGAAGTTTCGAAACAAAACACATATTTGTGATTTCCAAAAGAATATAGACTACCAAATTCTGTGAGAAGACTCATTTTACCGGTTCTATTCGTTTAGAAACCATTTTAGCACATTTTAAAATTTTTCGAACAATCGCAAAAAATGCAAAGGGGGTACCCGATGGCGACTTTTTGCCAAAAAAAATTTTTTTTGAAAAATGAGAAAACTTTCCAAGATTGTAGAGCAACATTCGAAAGTACGATTCACATTCAGAAAACCTCGAAAAACTCTTATAATCCCTCTCAAAAACTCACTCCAAAAGTGAGAAAATAGCACTGAAACCACTTTCAGAGCTCATAACTTTTTTCACAGGGCCGGGGTGGAAAAAACTGAGTTCAGTTCTGTTATCAGCGTGCCCAAAAGTACTAATGACAAAAGTTTGGGCAAATTCTCAACCGGTGTCTAAAACGACTTCCCTTGTAAATCGCGAGGAATCCTAGAACAAATAATTCAGTGTTTCAAGGAGTTTATTATTAAACTGTATTATGCAACTTAAACATTATTCCATAAGTGTTGCAAAGCTTAACATTAATGAAAACTACAACTTTGAAAAATCTGTATTGACTCAAAATAAAAGCATTTTGAAAGAAAGAACACAAAATTGCTGCTAAAAACTTTTTCAAGGGAAATCTTTGCAGTTTCAAAATTCTCATAAATTCGCCCTGATGCTTTGAAAGCGTTGAAAGGTTTTTTTTGCATTTTAAAACCGAAAAAAGTTCTAGAAAACTCTCCTAGATAGATTCTTTAGAGAATCCTGGCCGAGTTGACCTCAACCCAACCCGAAAGACAAATGACTCTTTTTTTCTCTCACTGCCCTCGTCTTACGACGTCCCACGAATTTTTTATCGAATCTATAGGACTCTGTGTGCAACAAATGTCGTTGAGGTAGTGGTAGAAGAAAGTGCATTGGAAGAGGGAAAGGAGAAGAAGAAGGATGGTTGTTCAGGTCTTCTGAAGATGAAGACACAGCTGGGGAGCACATGTTGGGGAGGGCTGGGGCACGATGGATAGTCTGTGCATGGTACAGAAAATGGATGGGTGGATGGGAGGAGAAATAGAAATGTAAAGGAGCCGGATAATTGCAGAAAAGTCAAACCGATGGAAAAAAAATCAGTGATTTCATAATATAATGCAATTTGAGGAGAATAGGGAACTGTAAAAATTTTTGTTACATTGTGAGAACAAAAAATCATACTTTATTACGATGGCTGGATTATGATATGGGAGGGTTGTTTTTGAAATACCGTAAAACCTGTAATACAAAGACCCCCTAAATTTCAAATTTGAGCCAATTTATTACGGTTCCGGTCAACTATCTTGCATATCTTGCATAAAAATACAAAAAACATAAAAAATTTTTGATATTTTGCATAAAAATCAAGATAATTGAACTCAAACTTGACGGTTTGAAAAAGAATTAAAAATGAGGAGATAAAGTAGAAAATTGAACTATGGAGACATACATTACCACACTAAAAAGGTATCAAATTGACTTATTCAGAGAAAAACAGTCGGGTTTAGAGCTCTGAAAACGTATTCCAGATATATCCAACTGCTCTAAAAAGTTCAGAACATACAAAAACAAAAAACCCTAAAAATAGCACCGAAATGAGAGTTGTTACCTTTAAAACCGCTTATCTCACTTCTAGGAGTTGTATGAAATAGTTGTCAATCACATTGAAGATCTAATCTTGTTATATTTAGTATACTCTCAAATTTCTGAGAATTCGGAAAAAAATCTTTCACTAAAAAAGTAATAATAAAGAAGTATTTTGTGGTACTCTCTCAATAGCAGTAATTTCAAAAAATGTCATTACATTCTCATTGACAATCCTAATTTTAACCAGGGATATAGAAAATATGAAACATACATTTTTTGATATTGGAAAAATTAAAAATTTCAGATCTGGAATGGAATAGTTTACAGATGGTAACATAACTTTCAGCCCACTATTTGAAACCGAAAATGTGCAACAATGGTTTTTCAACTTTGAGTTTGTTCAGATTTAGGGCTCAACACTATCATTGAAAAGTGCACTCGAATAACACACATAAATCTAAATTACGTCATCTGAACCCCCTATCATAAAACGTAATAATGGGCGGTCTATTGAGGAATGAGAAGGTTTCTGGTGGGCAGCTGTTATTTAGAGATCTTATTGCAATGAAATTGAAGGAACAGATAGGGTCATTCGAGACTGTAGTACACTTTTACAATCGTGATGTCGCTGGAGAAGGGAATGAGATGGAATGAAAGAACACAGGAGAGTGGGGGATCTCGAAGAGAATTAGAGAAAGATAGAAGACGTTCATTATCAATGATCTCGCGGGGGGAGAGACTATTCATAATCATAATCATTCAAGGTTAAAATGTGAAATCGAGGAGAGAGAGGGAGAGAGAGGATTAGGCGCAAAGGGAGAAATCTTCCTCTCCTTTTAGAGAGACAATTAAAGGAAAATTGAAATTAGTATCTCATGATGCGATTCCACATTGCACAACCCAAAGAGATGAAGATGATTCAAACCACAAGAAACAGTGAGAATTGAAAATATGAGCCTAATGATGGATTAAGTTGTTCAGACACGAAAATTCAAAAAAAATTGATTTTGTGCCAAATTTTTAACACTTTGGATTATCTCGATATTTGGGAAAGTATCTTCCTTATATACTGAATTCGATAAGAAGAAAATCAAACTATAAGGAAAGTGGAGGCACTAGGCAGCTACTTGAAACAGGATTTTTTTGTCAAAAATGAATCTTATAGTTTTTGTTCGCATCCCTGAGCCGTGAATGGGAGCTTTAAAAGACGAAGATACCACTTCGGATAGTTTGAAAATTTTAAAAAAGAAACTTCGAAAAAGCTCAACCGGAAAAGTCTAATAGGCGAAAAAAAATATTATTAAAATGATCCGAATCAAAGAAATTGCACAAGAGCGAACGTTCTCGCGGCGATTGAAAAGTTTGTACAAGTTGTGTCCCCCCCGCGCGTACCCGCAAACAATATAATCATCATCATCTCATCAAGAAGTGATAATGGGTCAGAAATGGCGGAGAACGAGACAGAGAGACAGTAACCTTTAGGGACAGAGAGAAATAAAGTATGTTTGTACGTGAACGAGGTCGATTGGAACATAAGCAGAGAGATGAGATAGCTGAGAAGACGACATAGGTTAAAACAAACAACGACTCTGCTGGCTGGCCCCTAAGGTCCGATACGTCTGGCGGGCAGTCGTTGGTGGGGGGTGAATAAGACGAAGAAAGATAAGTTTTCTGTCTCTCTTCTTCTCTGACCCCTTATTGCCAATCGACAGATGCTCCGATTCTCTGTTGACACTCCACAGATCACACACTCTCTAATCGTTGTACCAATTTCTTGGGGCGGATGGGGGTGACCTCTGTTGGCGAGTAGAGCGAGGGACCGCGAGAAGAAAATGAAGAGATAAGTTTTTAGGAGATGGGGGATAGTATTGGGGAGATGGGAGACGCAGAGAGAATCGGAGCAAAAAATGAAAGAAGTGATCGGAATTCATTAGTGAGTGTTTCTAGAGAGAGGGAATTCTGAGAGAGGGGATTTTATTGCAATTGATTGGAAGATGAGAAGAGCAAGAGAGAATTTGCAAAAAGAAGAAAAATGAGTTTTGGAATGAGATGAGTCACTTTCAATGAAGCTTGATCAAGTGGAAGATCGGAAGAAATTTATAGAATGAAGAATTGAAAATTTGGTTTCAGTGTGAACGTAATAGACTTAAGACCGGTACAGTGACGGAAGGTCCAACTACAGTAACCTAAAATTGTTTTTTTGCACGAAAGTCGAATTTAATAAACCCGGCAAATAAACATATTTTAGGTTACGGTAGTTTTCCTTGTGGGACCTTCGGCCAAAAATAATATCGATCCCTACAAGTTCTCCAGGCCAAACACACACACACACATACAAATTACTGACAAGTAAGACGTCGAGACAAGAACACTTGGCAAATATATCTATTGCGCAATTGACTGCCAGCTCGCATTGCATCGGTATTGGTCCCGTTTTTTTTTTGTGAGACAGGTTGTTCGTATTGATTCGAGGGACCATTCCAAATATGGATTTCGGGGACCATGAATAAAAATTATGTACAGGAAATTTTCAGGATATGGTGAAATAGATTTTTTCGAGTTTCAAGACTTTCTAGAAACATAATGTAACCAGCAAGGCTGTCAAACAGCCGGCCGCGGCCGGCCGGCCGCGCTGAAAAACTTTTTTAATACGGCCCCGGCCCCGCGGCCGGCCGTCGTCCAAAAAAATTATGACGCAACTTTGGATTTTCAACAAAAAAATTAACTTTTCTTTCTGATTTTGAGCAGATTTTTTTGACAAGTAGTTTCGAAAATAAGAATGTTGAAAAAGAATGGAAAAATGTAGAAAAATTCGGAATTTACAAATTATGACTTCTATTCAATTGTCTCTCTAGTGTTCCGTTGAGTCACAAAAATAATTATTTTTATGTTAGTTACTCCCATTTGAAAAATCATTAATTTTAACCGATTTTTCATGTTCTGGTGAGCATTTTCATTTCGAATGAAGTTTCCCTCGGCCCCGCACGACCGGCCGGCCGAGGCCGGCTTTCGGCCGCGGCCTTCCGGCCCATCGGCTTTTGGGCCGCGGCCGGCCATCATTTTCGACAGCCCTGGTAACCAGAGATGTTCGGAACAGAAATCGGGACCCCGAAAATTCAGACTATTTCTTTGGAATATTATCGCTGCGTTTTGGACCTATCAAGACCCCGAGAAAATGTATTGAATTTATCATAATGTTGAAACAGTAAAATCCCAGTTTTTTTTCAAATATAAATCATATCGGACCGATAAGTTAAGCGTTTGCAACTTGTCCTATGTTCAACTAAATTTGCAATAGAAAAAGAGAAAAACGGCAGATTTTCAGTAAGACCATGTGCTTTTCTAGAACTTTTCGAATTTTTTCCATTTCAAAATTGACATTTAATGTATGCGACTTTGGACCGCCGCTCAAGAACTTGTAAATCTTCAAATTCCCAGTCTTTTGGAAGACTTTTGGAAGTCTCTTTGTTTTATCGTTTCATATAAATTTGTCAAACTTTCTCTTGTTATAGTTTAGTTTCGAATATTTCCTGTTTCAAGACTGAAGTTTCAGTGTCCGACGTTCTGAACTGACTCAGTCCGCTGAGATCCAAAGTGACGCGAACATTCGAACTCGTAGAATTTTATAAAAATAGGAACTTTCGCTGTTCTCTACGGACTCAATGTACTAGAATCGCAATTTTGATTCTATAAACTTCTGAAAATTTTATTAAAGGGGTATTCCGATCAAAATTTTTATCGCCTCAAAATCACGGTGCGTTTTTTTAGAACGTAAAGTAAATGTGCTCTAACGCGAATACAGTAGTTAAGCGCGCTGAGTACCGACGCGAATGCTTTAAAATGAACTGCTGGGTCGTCTGCATTCCATCGAAAAAGGCGCGAAATTTTAGAATTGAATTTATCATTATGCTGAATCATTAAAATCACAGTTTTTTCAAATACACAATATTCGACCGTTTAATTGTTGTATCTTATCCAATGTTCGATTTGCTTTGAAATAGAAACAGAAAAAAACAGAAGATTTTCAGTAAGACTACATGCTTTTCTAGAATTTTCGATTCTTTCAGTTTTTAAACTGGAATTTAATACATTCGATTTTTTGGATTTTCACCCACTAGTAGACTTAATTGTGAAACTTCAAATTCCCAGAATTTTCGGAAATTCGAAACATGTTGCTTCAGATTACCACATGAATTGATCAAGCTTTTTAGTCGCTCGGGTTCTGGATTTTATCCTGTTACCAAATTAAAAATTTTGAATTTCGATTTTCAAACGGTCCTAGGACCTAAGCTAGGAGTATGGTCTTACTGAAAATCTGCCGTTTTTTCTGTTTCTATTTCAAAGTAAGATTAACGTAGGATCAGTTACAAACGCTGAATCTATTGGTGCAATATACTGGAAAACCTGTATTAGAAAGGCCGGCCCTTCTATTTTTCCAAGGTACCTCCGGAGGGCCCTTCTATTACAAGGGCCCTTCAATTAGAGGGGGCCCTTCTATTTTTCCGGTCAGTTTTCCCGTAATTTTTCACCGAAAAACTAGACAAATTTTTATTCAAAATTCATGGAAATCTGTCAATTTCACCGAAAATTGAGCAATCTTTCATCAAAAAATGTTGTTTCACAGGTTTTACGGTATTGTCTTTGAAAACA